ACCACTCTGAGTGCGACCATCCAGCATGTTTCTTTATCCACTGAGCAGTCCATCTGTCAAATCCACGTCTCTCTGATTTAGAGACAAGGATGTCATGGGGATGGTGTCGAATGCTTTGCACAAGCCCAGGTAGATGAAAACAAGAAAAGTCAATCTAAGCAACTAGTTTTCAAGCACCACGTATATCTTTAAACTTTCCATCAATTCTTAGCACAGGCCTCTTCATGACATACAACAGCCCCATGCATCTGTCTGATGGAAAATCGATTGAAGCTTCCCTGTACCGTAACCAGAGCCAGTAACAGGCCAGAGCTCCAGCCAATTCAGCCACAGCGTCCCTCACAGACATCAATACCCCTGCAGAGATCCACTCTGGTCAGGAAACAGCTCCACCCTTCCCCAGCAGTCGCAGCTTCTGCTGTCTGCCCAGAGAATGCCTACAACACTGCAGGGCACGTTCTCCAAGCTGCCCCACCCCTGCCCAGCTCCCAGTGAGGGCACAGCTGGAGGGAGCCGATTACTGCTCCCAAAGACTGAGGCACAAGCAGAGCCAGATCAGAGCTGCCCTCAAACACTGCACGTAGCAGCAGAAGGTACCGTCTCTTCCATGCCTGTTCTGCCCATCATGTTGCTGTGACACCATAGCTGATGCAGAATACAGCTCTACACATCCACCAGAAAAAAAACCACCTTCCAGTGGGGAATATTCTCTATTGATCCCTCCTATGCTATTTTATAATTAGATTGTGCTGGGTTTTGTGATATACAGAATGCAGTTCAAGAGATCAGAGAACTTAAACCTGTCTGCCTCTTGTCTCTTCCAAGCTGTTTCCAGTTCCAGTTTAAAAACCTCTCCTCACCTTAAGCAGATCAGTTCCACTACAGAGGGTTATCCCAATACATTTAGAAGAGCTATGAGGGAGCACCCAGTCATCTGGACAAGAGCAGCTTGGCAGCAGCTATGTTGCTCTGAGTAGCCAAATCTCACTAGATATGATGCATTAGTTGGAAAAGTGCTTTAAAAAAAACAAAAAACCTTAATGCCAGTTATATTTTGTCACCTTTTAAGTAATTCTGAAAGTTACAATGCAATGCAGTAGGTGGTTAAATGATGTATGTCTCTTCTCCCCAAAAGCCAGGCACAAATTCCTTTGCAGTATCAGTTCTTTAGATGGGTAACAACAGAGCTGCAGATAGAGCCATGCAGCTCCCACAGCAGAGTGAAATGACACTAAATAGCCAAGAGAAACATTCACTTTACCTGGTCTGGTCAGTTCACTGAAGAGCTGAAGTAGAAAACAAGGATCATAGAGGTCATCAAGACTCTTGACACTCTCATCTCTATAGAGGGACTCTTGCATCTCCTGAAACCAAAGCCAAACCAGTATTTGTAAGGGACACCACCAATTCCCAGCTTGGTTTCAAACTTCCTCAACCACTTCATCCCATTATAAACCTTGCAAAACATAACGCAACACAGGGCAAGACGTGCTTGTATTTAAACCTGGCTTTCACCATCAGGGTTCCAAAACTATTTCCCCTGACTAGCACTAGCAGGAGTAGAAGCCTGTTAGCAAGCCATATGAAAGTCTGAGGGGCCCACTGTCAGTGGATCCTCAGACAGTCACACTTAACCACTGTTTAAAAGTCCAATTCTGGTCTCACATATATGGCAATCTTTGCAGTGCTGCACAATCACACTTGCTGACAAGATGTGGTCCATATACTGCCATTCATTTGACAAGTGCTCCTAAATAACTAACTCCAGCTCTCCTACGAATTTCAATTACTCTCCTGTTGTAAACAAATTGCAACGTATTACATGATTGCGAGAAAAGAAATCACTGAAGTGAAAGGCTCTTTTTCCACATCAAAGAAAGATAATTCAGCTGTCTGCACCAAGCACCTGTGATGACAGAAGACGGCGATGCTGAGGGAAAGACAGAATTGTCTTCATCATCTTTTCTCGATCTAGCAGACACAGAATCTCCTCCATGCTTGGCTGCTGCCATAGCGACTTCCCTAGACTCTTGCAAGTCTTGTGATGCTCCACAGCGGCTGGACCCCATAGCAGGATTCTTAAACATTGTTAAAAGTAAAGGCATTAGTCAACAGACTGCTAGCACTGAGTGAAAAGCAATTACAGAGGTTATAAATTAGTATTTAAATTTTCCCTTTGCTTGTACTTATTATCCTGTGGGAACTTGAAACTAGAACTCGTTTCCCTGGCAACGCCTTTCTCCTCCATCCAAAAGCTTTTCAAATTCAGCCTGAGGTTGTCTCATTAACTATTTCCTACCCTGTGAATCCAAGTCAAAACTTACCCCCTCAGGAAAAAAGTGCTTTTTATTTAAGCTGTAAGTGCAGGTAGGAGAGCAGCTACATGAAGAGACAGTGATCAAGACCTGGTCACACCAGGTTGTCTCAAACTCAACTGGTATTTCAAACTGGCACCACAGTGGTTCAAAAAAAAAAAAAACCAAAACAAAACACATAAATCCTTACTCTCATCCTCCGAGTTGCTCCTTAGACCCCATTTATTTTGCTGTTGTGCTTAATGTGCTATTGATACTGTTATTTATTACGTGGGCACTGCCAGCAGGACGCCTCGCTGTTAGCAACGGTGTTAGGCGTTCTATCACCCAGAACCGGAACGCTCCCGTTTGTAACACGCTGGGCTCTGCTGGGCTGCACACACAGCACTTTTCCTGCATGTGCTCTATACGCACTCAAACCCTTCAGCGCTGGGATCGAGCCTAGCCAAGTGTCTGGCTACCCATTCCCTTCAGGCTATAGTAGGAAACTTTCTCCTTTAGCCAGCCTAGAAAAGTTATGGGAGCAGGAGAGTGTTTTCAGCGGTCCCAAAACACTCTCCTGTTTGCAAATGCTTTCAATAAAGATCTTCACAGAAGGCAGCTAGTGCCAGAGCCCCTGGCTTCTGGAAGCCACTCAGCTCTCTGCTTACAAGAACCTTCATTTACTGTCCCTCATCATAGGCTGCAGGGATTATCTACATTCTCAGATGAAGCTAAGGATGGAAGACAGGTGCCTATCCCAGAGTCCCTTCCTGCTCCAACTACCTCAGCCAGTACTCTTGCACTGCTGTTAATATTTATGTCACACCTCAAAGAGAAAAGTGCATTTGAGCAAGGCAGAGCAAAAACATCAGTGTCTGCAAGAACTAACTATTAGCAAGGAGTTCCCTGTGGGCTGCTTGGGCACAGGGCCTGAAAACAAACTGATTATTTTATCCGGTACATGGCTCTCTTATGAAACATGTAGATGTATTGCAAGGTTGCACTATAAAGGAGAGCTACAGTCCAGACTGGTGAAAGACAAGGAGGGCCTTGGTACCATGTCAGTACCCCGAATGCATATGTTAATATAAGAGGTTATACATCACTCCTCCACTGGCATGTTCTCTCCAGCAAAACACCGGAGCAGAGTATCACACAGACAGGGGCAAGACCACTGAAAAGACTTAAGGACTGTGCTGAGCAATGAAGCCGGTATCCCAAGGGAACAGGGAAGGGGAAGGAGTCCTACACTAGCAACTTGGGCTTTGGCCTTCATCTGTGAAGAAATCCCTACAGTGGGTTTGGGCGACACATGAGAATTGTGTTAAGAATAGGAAATACATAGGAAAAATGTTTCCAAAAGCAACATTCACCTCTAGGTTTGACCTTGCTTGCTGTTTATCTCAGTTAAAAATAAGAACCTGGAAAAATGCCAATTGTGAGACTGCTTATTTGTGTGTAGTTAGCTGGTCACACACAGGAAGGTGGTCAGCTTACCTGGAATTTATAAGACTCTGATTATTCTTCTCATATAACTGAAGCAGTAACAGTAACTTCTGATCTAAGAAACAAGATGAAACCCAAAGTCAGTCACCTATAAAGATGAAAACCAGATCTAGTAGGAAGTACCTTTCCCAGGCTAAAGACACTTACCTACAGCACTCAGTGTAGCCCCATAGGCACCCAGCAACACGGCAAGGTGACTGCTCTCACAGAGAGAAGGGCTGAGCTTCACAACTGTCAGCAGTATATCTACCAAGGCCTCTGAAATAAAACACACAGCTTTAGCTTTGCTGCTCTCTCAGTTAGATAGCACATATATAAATACCCCCACACACATATATACTCTCTGCATAAATGCACACACACACAGTACTGTACATTTTAGACCAAGATCTATCCCTATAAATATCTAAAACCATCTCCCCAGCTACACTAAAGGCTGACTACAATGCCTTTAATTCAAGTGGAATAACTTTTGTTTTTTAAAAGGAATTTAACAGTATTCCCAAGCTGGACACACAAATGTTATTGCAAGATGAGCTCCAGTGTGGCATAATGTCTTGCAGAAGCTTCCCGTGTGCACACACCTGCTCTCTGGTTAAAAAGAAGTGCTACACCCTACCCCACCATGCCACAGCTCCCTTCTCGCCCAAGAAGGCATCTTAAATTAGCTCAGGAACTTCGGAGTTCACACCCGAGCTGCAGTAACTTGTCAAAATGTTTCTCCACTGTGCATTTAAACAGGGGTCATCACTGCAGAATCCAATTAGTCAGCAAGCTACAGGAACTCTGTCCTAGGCGTACAAAAATTATCCACCTTAGTTTCATAATGAGCTGAGAAAGAGCTCAGACAAGTGATCAGGTTATTGAAGGCAAATAGGTTCTCTGTGGCAGATTTAAGACTTATTTTCTCCCTGAAAAGGCACGTGCTGTTTCCCCTACTATCTACAGGAATGTAAAACGTATGTCAAAACAAAACAGATCATAAAGAAGACAGACTCAATGCACTCCACACCAAGTTTCTGAATTACTGAAGTTAGCCTCAAAGAATGCAGCTTGCCGCTCTACAGAAATACATTCAAAAGGTAAACCACATACAGCATGCAGCAAAATCTGTCACTTATTAATTTCACTAAATTTGTGACTTCATGAGAGCTTTTGGCTCTTTTCAGGTGATTTAGAACTTTAACATTTGTTTACACGTTGCTTGCCAATGTACAAAAAAAAATTTATCAGCATGCTGCCCTGAGAACTTTCCCCCCCTTTTTCTTATACGGCTCCTCCAATCACTGAACCTCAAAGCCCTGCACAGTGGGAAAAGCTGAGGTGTATGTAGAGCAAATGACTGGTTCAAGGTCAGGTGGTATTTCAGAAACAAAGCCAATCCTACACATGAACTAGCACCCACTTTATATTTCTCAAGGAAGGATATTCCTCATGAAAGGTTGCAATACCAAATGTCTATTAATGTAACAGTTAAATTAACATTTTTGACACAACTTGCAAAATCAACGTAAATGTTCTGTATCAACCTATTTTAAAATAGGCTTAAGTGTCACACATGTTTCTAACAGAACCTACAGGCCCTTCGGTAATCTGATGCTAACAGCCACATGAAAACCAAAAGAATCCATTCAAGTTTTCAACAGGGTTAACAAACAACCCCAAATCCGCCTTTCCTGTAGTTTGAGAAAAAGTGCTTAAAACTGGCAGCCATAAAATGAATGCAACTTTTGGATCCAAGTAGAGGTAGAATTTAAAACTAAATGCTAACATTCTAGAATCATTTAATAGCTCTGCAAGTGTACGTAGGTGGACAGGTTACCGGATGGATAGAATATAATGCGAGAAAGACAAGATTACTAAAAATAGTTAAAGGGAAGAAGATTAAAAAAAAACCCCACCTCTTGTCTGGATGTTCGTGCCATCATCTTCTCTTGACCTCAGTATGGCTGACAAAAATAGAGAGTGCTGCGTGACCATCATGTGAAGTCTGGAGAGCTTGACTAATCTCTGACTAAGTGAGGATTCTTTCTGGTATAACAACTGAATAGCGATGTTCAGGACTCTCAAAAAAGCTTCATCTCTGTAGCGGTACCTTTAGAAGCAAGGATCACAGAAAAGTCAGACCCCATGCAAAAGGAAAGATGCTTCCAAAAAACATCTCTTTAAGACATAAGAACCTTGCAAAGAAAGCAAACTTAAAGCCAAAACAAATTTTAAAAAAACGAAAACACATGCACCACTTTCCCTGAGCTGTTTTGATTTTTTTACCCTATATTGGAATCTTAGTTACAAAAAAGAAAAGAGTCAACACACAGTCACACTTGCTACTGCACTCACTTTCATGAAGGATTAGAATTTTGCCTTAGTAACCCTTCAGATTAACACTTCTACCTCTACAGAAGTTATGATTATCCTAAACTACTTTTGATTTCTTTAGTTTTAATGGTTTACATTCAAAAGTGAAAGATCTGAATCTGTTTTCATGTGAATTGTATTTAAGAAATGCCTTAAATAAAAAGGTTATCTGAGCAAAAAGCTTCTTCAGGACAGTCAAAAGTAAGCAGCTAACTCAGCTATCTTGTTAGCTACGTTAGTTATGCACGGAATCCAAGTCTGCCTGCGGTTGTGCAGGCTCAGGCTCCAGTGGATGTGACAAAGCACATCCTGAGAAACAAGGAGCGTTGCCAAATCTGGCTGAATTCAAGGGCGACAGGGTGTTTCCAGCGCTAGGCAGGACAAGGCCAAGAGAACAGAACCGTACTTCCTGCGGCACCGGTGGTGCATCTCAAAATCACTCACTTGAGTCCCGTCTTCACAAGGCTGTACCAGTCATCGGGGTCCACTTCTTCAACAAAGCGCTGTGCGTGTAGTAAGAACAGAAGTTTACATTCAGCACACAGAGCTTCTACAGGTGATCAAGACCAATTTTTGTTCAACAGACACGCTAACAACACACAAGTCAAACACTCAGTTGGGATAGTCAAAAGGTATCCAGGAGCTTTCTTCCCTGTTTTCAACAGTCTTACCTCCCGATTCAAATCTTGTTTTGTTGGTCCTAGGAGGAAGGGAGCAGTTAAAAATCAAACTGGTCTGTAGGTACCAAAAACCCATAGTCCCTAAACTCCTCACATGCTCAAAGCGTGAAAGGTGGCAAGTCAAAGCTAGAGGCTGCTACGCAGGTACTAGATTTTCATGTACCTACAATGTGCTTAAGCTAACCAACCTTTGCATGTGGCGAGCAGGTAAGATACCGGGGTGGCTGGGTGTATGTGTTCTTTACAAAAGCTGATCTTCCCTGAAATGCTATAAACAATGTTTTAAGTTGACTGACAGCTGCACGTGTTAGCAGTCCTGGTAATGGTAGATGATAACCTCATCAGGCCTGCGAACACCATCAGGATGAATGGTATGAGGTGGCCCTTCAGGTCCTGCAAGACTCCCATCTTCATTTGCAACCTTTGATTTTTACCTCTTGGTGACCTCGAGCTCTGATTTTCAGAGGCAACTGCTAGGATAAAGCTATCATCAAGAGCAACTCAAAACTGCTTCTTATAAAGGGTTAGTAGGGCTAAGTTAAGTCTGTAAAAGGCTGTTAAAAGCCATAATCTACAAAACAGAAAATAAAGTCCAGCCTGTATTTAGCAAAGACACAAGTGCACAGTAACACATGCACACAATAACATTCTAGCAATGCAGATAAGAAGTCTTACCAGTAGCTCTTCAAACCTCAGCAGCATGGACCTCTCTGCTTCCTGGTTTCTTTCGTCTTTACTGCTGTTGTACATGACAATTAACCCCTTCATGCAGGCTGCCAACAGGCGTCTCCTCCAGGAATGCAGCTCTTCAGAGTTTTCAAGCACTTTAGATATGGCATCTGCCAATGTCCAACTGCAGAAAGGTATTCAGTTATTTTTCAGTGTTGTAACATGCTTTTTGCATATGCTAAAGGTGTCTTGCTGCCAAAGCTCTGAAGTGACAGATTGTCTGAGGAGAGGATGCTGTTATTATTCACAATATTTGCTTTCACACATATCTATCACAGTGCTTTACAGGACAAGCCCAGTCCTGAAATAAGGCAAAGGGATTTGCCTACCTCTCCATATTTTCTGCTTTCTCAAGAGCAGCAGGAAGCAGGTCAATAAGCTTTCGCAGCCCTTTGCTTTCTGAAGATGGTAACAACTTTGAAAGAACCTGCAGTTTCACAGTGGTGTCATGTGATTCTTCAGTGTCTTGAAATACACTGCAGAGCTCCTTCCACAATGCCTTCCTTAAGGCAGGTATAACAGCAGAGGCAACTGTTGGGAGAGAGCCGGGGGGCACAGGTTTCACCATGTAAGCGCGTTAAGCAACAACAGACTTACAGTTACAAAAATCCCAAATCGCTTTTCTAATCAAGCTCTAGATTACTAGGTTTCCATGAAATCACACCACAGCAGCTGCTGATCTGCCACAGAGAAGTGCACTGTGTATTGCTCCACAGCACCATTAGGAAGCATTTACCAGACATACCAGACAACCACTTGCAAGCAAGTGAGCAAGCAAACAATGCAGACCTTCAGAAGAGGGACGGCTTCCTGATAAGACGCCTTGTGCTTGCATCTCAGGAAGGATGAAACCTTACCAATTCTCTGACCCTGGGCTCAACGGAAATTTTCTCTCACATCAGACAGCTAACAGACACCTTCTAAACCAAGTCAGACAGCAGTTTCCCCTTGTTGTGTTCAGACACAAAACCACTGGTGTGCATTAGGTGCTGGAGAAAGGCTTAGTTCTTTAAGCCATCCTCTACTTCCCTGTGTGCTGATGAGATATTTTCACTACTTGAACTTCTCCTAGATGGAACTAGCCTTCTCCACCAACAGCCAGCCTGTTTCTGTTGCTAGTCACATTTCTATGCAATAAGAGAAATGAAATCCAAGTGACACTCTTCTGTTGAGTTGAACCTTAACTCGTAGTTTTGGTGGTAGAAAATTTAACAGTCTTGTCAATTTAATGCTGCTGTGGGTTTGGGATGTTCTGGACTGCCAACTTAGGAAAGCATTACTGTAGGAAGCTATATTTGGAAATTTACGTTAGGAGAAAGTTTTGGACTCTCGCACTTGTAAAAGTGAAAGCTTGCGTTCTGCAAAACCATATGGCTCTGGCATTCCCCTCACCAGGCAGCGTTCTGTCTGTGCCTGAGAAAGAGTTTTTACCTCCTATACGAAACCAAGATAAGCATGAAGACAGATTTTCACATGTACTAAGAATTAAATAAGGGCTTCAAAAGGGAAACCTGGGCAGCAGCAACCGTAAGAGTACTTTGCTTCAGACTAACAGCCCATCTTCAGCACAGTCCTTTACCTTTTTGGTACTTGTATGTGCCTAACTTCTAATGATTCTCCTACATTTTATCACCTCTACTAATTGTGCAGAGTATCCAAGACTAAGGCCAGCAGAGCCTACACTGGGAATGTGGCTTCCCAAATAACAAACAGGGATCAGCGGTGGCTTTACCTGCAGAAGGTCGGGTGTAATCGTACTGGTCTCTGCACTGCAAATACACATTAAGGAGTGGAAGCAAGCTCTCCATGTTCTTCCTGAGGTACGATCCAGTGGCACTGCCCAAGCACCACAGCTCAAACTGCAGCAGGTGAGTCCGGCAGTGTTTTAGCAGCATGCCCACAATGGCAAGGGAGGTTTCTGACCTCTGGTTAAGGCAGTGAACATGCACCTCCACACTGACTGCGTGTGCAAGGACTGGCTCGCTCTGGAGAGCCTGAAGGAACACCTTCTCCAAATCTTTGCTGGCTGATGCTGACATCAGTATCCCCAAAGCTTTGATGTGCTCTGTGGACAGCAACAGCTCTCCTCGCTGAGGCTGCCTTTGGTAGCTCTCTGTGAGGAGCTGCACCAAAATCAGTCCATAGAAGCTTAATTGTTTCCCTTTTTTAGGGGATTTTTCAGATTTCTGAGTAGTCAAGCTCGTCTCAGGAAGTCGCAGCATGGTTAAAGTGATCTCTTCCAGCTGAGCTGCAGCCATGTATGTGTGCAGCTCCTCCAGAGCCTCCAGCTGGTGAGACTTCTTGGGAGACACCTGGCTTCGGTCCTTCCCTGCAGCCTGTAGCTCTTTCAAGACGCTGTTTGTGATAGCTTCAAAATACTTCGATAACACATGTTTGTGACCCATGCTCTGCAACATCGGGGCACCTGTTTTCAATAGCTGGAGCACACCCGCGTTGAGGTGAGCTGACAGGAGCTTCACAGTGACAGGGTTTAAACTGTGCTGAGGAAGAGAACGTTGTTCTAATGCCAGGAACCAACTCTCCAGCGTAGGATGTCCGAAAATCAGCATGAGCATATCTTCCAGTGTCTGTAATAAATGGTTGTAACATTATCACTGAACAGATAATTACAATCTGGGGGGAGGAATCATTCATCTGCCTTTTTCCAGAGCACATCTATTACAATTAACAGACATGAAATTGTCTATTAACTGGTCAGAGAATAAAAATGTTAACGAATTACAAGCACACTAATGCCATTCTTCCAACATTTATGATGTGGGAAGCACACTGTTCTCCACGTCTAAGGACATTTCCAGGGGAAATCTGTATATTCTGGGGTTTGGCAATACAGTCCCATTTTAATCTCCACAAATCCACAGAAGAGATGAAAAGGGGGCTACAATTCATTCCTCTGAGTACATAATGTTCATAACCAGGCTTTATGCAGGGCTTAGGGAACAGAATTTCTTCTGCAAAGTGATCTCTGTCAGGACTTCTCCTGACTACTCAAGGGTGAGACTGTGGATGACACAGCTTGGTCAAGTCTGCAGACGGCAGTTTCGTGACTGCTGGACCACATGCTCAAAGTTCTTAAGTCTTCCTCCTAGACCTTAACAGCATCCCTCTGTGCAATACAAAGTGTATGATAACCTGCTCACTCCCTGCCCTTCTGAGGGCCTGGCAAAAGCTAGAGTAATGCGTCTACAAAGTGGTAAAATCCTCTTCAAGCCCTCACACAGTGAGTGTATGACAGACACACTTTAATCCTAATTGAAATCCCAGAAATCCTCATGACTATTATCAAGTGACAGCACTCACACAGCCTGATCTGTCCTAGATCCCCTGTCCTCTGTCATGTTTAGCCAGTTCCATGTTTTCATGATCGATGGAAATGTATCAACATAATGTGTGTTCAAATATCTTTCACGTTTAAGATCATTTGCTTTATTTAATGGTTCAGCAAAACTTATTACTATCTCCCTCGAGAACAAATCGAGTCAAAAGTTTACTAACAGGTGAGCTGCAGTTTGCATATCAAGGGATTTGGTACCTTGTCATTTGAAGACTCCTCTGTAATCAGAGATTCCTCATCCATAAAGAGATCTGATTCAGTCTGATGCTCTTCTCGTTTCTGCTGTCTATCCAACTCCAGCTGATTTCCCCGGCATAGCAAGCTTCTCAGCAGGTCCACACAGAGGTCAACAAGGTGAGGACCAAAAGTTTTACTAAGCTGTGAAAATAACAGACACCTCGGAAGTTAAGAAAGGAGAAGGATGGGAGCAGAAGGATAATTATCCAACAGGAACAGAAATTAACCAAGAACTTCCTAGATTACAACCTTTCCTGGGGGAAGTAATCACTCCCCTCTGTAGAAACCCGATTCTAAGAAAAGCCTCAGGGTGCCAAATCAGTATTTACAGATTCTAATCTATACTGTGAATTTTGGTGTATCACAGGCCAATGAATTTCACCCTCTGGAGAGGCCTCTTATGGAGGCCCACGAGCTGGAATCAAAACTGGAGTTTATTTGCACTATGCATGGATCGGTAACTTAACCCATGTGAAGTAAATCCAAAATTCCTCAACAATTAGGCTAGACATTTGTTTACAAATTAGGTGCAGGCTTGTCAGGTGCTCTACAGCCTCAGCAAGAGCCGAGTACATGAAAAAGCTGTAGAACTGGATAGAGGAGTTTTAACCATCAAGTTATTTGTATTTGCTGCATTAAAATAAAACAAACCAACCCGCAATATCATCGCAATGTTGCTCTTACACTGCCAAAGTTCTCCACTGTGGACTTCAGGTACAGCAACACATGCTTTACTCCTAACAAAAGCTGTTCAGCCGGGAGCTGGGAAGCCAAGTCTCTCAATTTTGTCTGGATATCGTCTTCCAGTAAGGTATTGCTTCCTCTCTCATAGGCTTTCTTTAGCAAAGTGGTAAATACAGAATCCAGGGCCACTGCAGGTTCTTTACATACCTCTTTGCGTTTTTTAAACTGTTTAAAATGAAAAAAAAGAAGAAAAATAAAGATGAGTATAAATCAAAAGTTTCAGCTGCCTGTTTTGAAATAAGCCCTGTGCTAAGAGCAGAACTGAAGCTCCAGGAGCAGGCGTGTACAGCCCAGCTACCACAGAACTAGGCAAAGGTGTCCCAGGGCAAATCTGCACATGGCCACTGCTGGGCTAACAGGAAAACAGCAAGCCCTAGTGCAGCTGGTCCATGCATCCCCAACCCATACCCTGGGTGATCTCCAACCACTGTAAACCGGCTCCTCAGGCCACGCCACACATTATGCTACACCGTGCCTGATGAGGAGCTGCAGTCTGGGGGAGTGCGTACAACCCGTGAGCCCTGGCTTCGCTTCCCAACCACAGCACAGACTTCTTGTGTCACCAGAAAGAAGCCCTTGAGCAAATTTGTGTCCCAACATGATCAAGCAGCAATACAGAATCAGCTTAACGTAAACACACTTTCTGATGGAAATGTAACCCTGACACACTGTGAGGTTTTACATTAATACTTGCTCAGGCATTCAAGTGACTTCAGGTATTCCATACCACAGGTTCCTGAGACTGCTGGGGTATCCAGAGTTTATAGTACTGGTTAAACTGGTAGAGTTGAGGATACTTTGAAACTTTCAAGGACTGCAGATCTTTATCATAGAGCTGGAACATCAAGCAGAGGGCGAGGGGTTCTCTCTGAGAATGCAGGAGGTCAGTGAAAACAGCAACAAGATAGTCTACGATGTGGGCTCCTAGAAAAGCCAAATAAAAAAATTAAAACTTCTGTCGACAGAAGTAATCTGCACAAGCACAGACACTAAGGTAACCCTCTTTCCTTAAGACCTGGGCAACAGGCCATACAGCATCATTTAGAAAAGTACTGAATAGGATTAAAAGGTGTTTGGTGATAAGCTAGACCAGTGTTCCTGACTCACGAGTTATCTGGAAAAATCCTCCATAGAGTACTCCTTGTTGAAGTAAATAATCACCCCTCTAACAGACACGCTCAGGTTGGTCTATTTCCTTCCAGACAAGCATAAAACTAACTCCGCCTTTACAGTGTTGTGCTAAACTTGTCTGTAGTTTGATGGATAAGGACTCCAGCCAAGCATCACTTCAGAGATCTGATTTGTACTGGGAGGAACACACCCAGTTTAACAAACTGGTTAAATATAGAGGATTTTCTTTCATAACTGGGACTTCCAGTCCCACCCCAGGTGCCACTCAACCGCCAAACATACACAGGACTTAGTGAGGTGCTGTGAGGTTGGCAAATCCTGCTCTGAGGTTCACCGCTGCCCCTGCGACTCCTCACTCCACCAAAACCTTCCCTCAGGGTGGTGGTAGAACTTTTGCAACATTCACCCCTGGAGCTCCATTTCTGAAGCAGTTTTCTTTGGAAAACACACCCATTTTCCATTCAACACTCCAGTTCTCTCTCCCCTACTGAGTGGTCTCAGTGGAAGAGGTGCCTACAGCTGCTGAAACAACCTTCTTCTCACAATCTGCACACTCTGCCATGGAAGTGAAACTGCTTCCAGGCCAAGACTGTCTGTGCAGGGATGGTGGCTCTGCACAGCTCCTCAGACCCCCTCTATACTGTGGTCAGAGCCTGGTGTCATTCTCCTCCTTCACTTCCCTGCATCTCAGAGAGGGAAGGTGGGCTCTCTTTTCCTGACCTGGGCAAGTTTGTTTTCCCACAGTAGGAGCTCCATAGAGTCAAATGGCAGTTTACAGACTTTCCATTCTATTGCATTTCCATTTGTTTTCCCTACTCCAGAAACAAAGAGCGAGCTTCTTTAGGGTCAGAAAAAAAGGAAAGAAGCACCTCATACGCTCTCTTGAGCAGGGAACACCACGGATCTGCACCTCCTTGTGCTTGCAATGAAGACAATAAAATGTCTTGCAGAGCTCATTGGGTAAGAATGATCCCAATTCCACTCCACTAGCAGAGATGAATACATAGAAACACAAAAGTCCATACCCGTTCCATTTTCAGTCTGAAGCAACAGGATATTCCTGGCTTCTAATGCAGCAGGGACAACAGCACTGAATGGAAATGTTTGGATAATCATGTCTTCATTTAAAGTCAACTCAATTTCTTCATCTAAGCCATCACTGCCCTCAACCAGAACATCCACCATATCCAGGACATCTGTTAAGTGAAGAAAAAAAAGATGTAAGCATAGGATTCTGACTAACTAGAAAATAATGGAGGTAGAATCCAACACTCCAGAAGTATTACCCAGCTTCTGAATTCTCAAGGCAGAAAAAAGGATTCAAGACACATTTGCCTAGCAATGTAGTGGTAAAAAGCAACTGTAAAAGTCACTGCCTCTTTCTGTATGCTTAACATTACTTTTTGCCTTTCAACACTGCTGTCCAGCTGACAGAAGTAAGGGAAGGGAAGAGGTGCATCATCTACTGCTATCCTGATGGCATTAAGTAAGGACTATCAGAGCCTAACAGTGACAGGAAACGTGTATGGGAAAGTATGAAGGAAGCAGCCACTTCCCCATTAAAAGAGCATACTGAGCAGTCCTTGAAGAGCTGCTCAGGTCTGTATGGCCAGAGGACCAAAGCGTGGTCATGAAAGCATCAACGACAGCTTTAACATACGAAGTATGTACCATGTATTCCAGGGCTGGCATTACTTCTCCATAATACAGTCAACTCAAGGCAAGTGATCCATCTGCTACTGAGTGTTAAACTACCTTGATTATCTTACATTTAGGTACTGCAAAATCCGACACATGGTCTGTTACAGCAGAACAGCTAGCACATGGTAAGTTGTCCCAGTGTCCACATCTGCAGAATTCTCAGTTTGTCTGCAGCAGGGCTGGGACTGGTCCCAGAAAGCAGGAGCAGCAAAACTCTAGCTGCGTGCCTGGGAGTAAGAAAGTTCCCTGGGCACGTCAGCCCCTTCCCTCCTGGGTGAACACGTTATTAGCAGTCCCAGGGAGAACAACTGTAATAGTTTTCATTTTAGTTAGAAAAAGCTGCTGCAGGAGCCTGCAGAGAGATTTAAGATACCATTAAAACAGTGTAACTTAATCCCGAATTACTTTTGGAGGTAAAGCAGTAACTTTGCAATTCAGACTTCTACTTCTGATGCTAAATACAACTGGAGGGCTGAATCCTGTAGGTCCTTACTTGAGCAGGATGTCCACAGCTATCAGTCATCAGTTTGCAGCTAAGGCATAGAAAATTTAGCACAAAGTCTTGGAATTCCCAGTTGAGGGGATCATCACATACCGTCAATGTGGGAAATGGGGATGCTGACGTTATCAGAGTCTTGTTTGACCATATTAACTTGGAGCACGCTGGCTTCCTGAACAAGGTCTGCTGCTTTATCTGTATATGGATAGGGATTCGTCACCAGTTTCAACAGGACCTGTTAACAAAGGTTGAGAGGGAAATGTTAAGTGCACAGGCTATTAAGTCTACAGGAATTGTTTTGTTTAGAAAGACCATCTGCTAAACATGGTTGGAAGCTGGGAAAGTTTTAGCAGGACAACTTCCACATACTACCTGCCTATGGTTATTGCTGTATGTGGAACACTGGGTCTGAAGGAAAAAGAAATGTTCACTACAATTTCACACCCATACCGCAACCACAGACTGAGTCCCTGGGGAAATTGCAATGAAAAAGAAGCACTGGGCATTTTAACATCCTGAAGAGTAAACAGGAAATGTCAACCTTTCTTGTAAAAAAGCTACAATTTACTTACAATTACCAAGAATTTTGGCAGGTACCGCCACATAAAGAAGAGAAGAGATAAGAGCTACCCCTCCACACAACATTTTACACTTAACAATGCTGTAATAACAATTTCTCTTTCCAGATTTAGTTTTCCTCTAACCATTTCACTGTCCTCCCACCCAAGAAAAGAAAGATGTCAGCTCTGTACAAAGAATTACAAACACTGCTTTTCTCAGAATTCATTCACTGATCTTTGACAGGTTTCTCAACAATAGCAACAAAATAATTAGTCTCCATTAATGCTATTTTTAGCATTGTTTATCCAGCTAATTTGAATAGTTGTTACCCTTTCCAAAAATTGAATCACTGCTTCCTTTTTGTCTTCTTTTGTATTATCCAAGTGTTCCAGCCAAACTGAAAGTTCCTTCCATGTGTACTCAAACACTCCACTGTCACGTAAAACCTGTCCAGAAAACCAAAGGAGGGGTAAAGTACAAAACCCAAACAACCAAAATACAAGACCTCCCAAAATCACAGATCTTCCTGCACAGCAACTTCATGTTTTCTTTTTCTCGGAAAGAAGAAAAGAAGAGCAGGTTGATGAACAGAAATAGCTGTCATTCTCATCCCCTCAGTTCAAGAGGCCTTATTCCCCACTCGCCAGGGCAGCTCTAACTGTGTAACAGAGGGTAAAACTAAATGCATTTTTAAACCAAAATCTTTCAAGTCTGTATGGACTGGCCTCAGTATAAGCACGACCAAGGCCTAGTACCTTCATCACGGCTGTTTTGCTTACTGCTCTCAGTAAAAGCAGCGAGAGGTGAGGCATGACTGTTTTACAGCTGATGAATGAAACCAGCTGAGCTCTGCCAGACACACACAGCTGCTGTGAGAAAAGGGCAAGAAGCAGTTCTGGGGCAGAGAAAGGAGGGTTTAAGGATGATCCAAGTAAGAAGCAAAACATGGCTTACTCTCTCACAACCGGGAAAATCAGCTGAGAGCAACTTCTTTCTGCTCATCTTCTCAGAGCCTGCCCTCCTCTCCCCTCCTGTCTGCAGCACAAACCAGTCCAGCTGCAGTCCAGCTCTGCTCTCACACAGAGCCTGTGGGTGGGATGGATCCCATGGGGACCCCATTCTGCCCACAGCTATTCACTGCTCTGGACACTGCATGTGGCCATCCTGTTATGACCGTTTATGCCCACGCGTTTGGAATACAAGACTTCCACAAGCATGCAGGACACAGGAACCTGCTTCGTCATGTGCCAGGGCAGTACATGCTGGATCCAGAGGCCACTGTGCTACCTGCAGCGCTGCTCACTGCAGTGGCCTCTCTGCCACTGTGCTGCTCAAGGCCTGTGGCGTGGGGACATGGAGGAAGAGAGCCAGCTACCGCACAGAGCCGCACCCAGGGTCAATCCGCCTGGCTGGTCCCAGCCTGCAAAACAGCCTTAGATACTGGACAGCTTCCACGGAGCTGGTGTGTCCCCTGTCCTACCACGCAGCCTGCAACACCAGGTGTGTCCCCAGCAGCCAGGGCTACTGCCATGCTGTCTCATACGCTGGCAAGGAAGGTTCCACTGCAGCACAGCCAAAGCTAAGAGTGAGGGTAAAGGTGAGCAGGACTTCTGGTCCAACCACGTCAAGTCCTTCTGTTGTTCAGCAGTCAGTCAGCACAAACCCAACCAAGGTCAAAGTTGCCTGGGGACAGAGCATTTGTTCCCTCCTTACTGTATCTTATTTTTATCATTTCAGAGGAGCAGGCTATCTTTATACCATTACAGCAAGGAAAAAAGAAAACAGCATACCCTTAAAAAGAGCCAGTAGGGGGACTTTTGGAAAGTACTGATGTAATATAAAGGAAAATCATGGCTAAATTAAATCTAAATCAGGCTACATGTGCTTAAAAGGGTTGGGCTGATGGGTAAACAGTCAAATAAACGAACAGTGGGTCGTGACCACAGCAAGGTCCAGAAAACAGCGGAGGCATACTCATGGCTGCGGTGGGCGGTGAGGAGATCCAATTTTACCACAATCAAGTAACAGGCACTCAGATATTTAGAAATCTTTGCCCACTTCATATTCTCTAAATTCAGGCCCTTATCTGAGGCACCTAAATCAGGAACTTGGTGACCCTATGCTCTGTCTGTAAAAGAAAGGATGAGGGGGCCGAGGAGGAGGAACAGCTGTGTGTGAAGGACAGGCAATCTGAATCGCACAATGGTAGAACCCACCTGCCCCTCACTCTCATCGAGAGGAAACCTTGACCAGCTTCCTAACTCTGGCACCTGTATAAATGACTAATTATGCGCGATGAATCCATGCCTTTGTTTCTCCCCACACACAGAATGCAAAGGAAGCTATTGCAGTTCATTTGCTCTACATTTACTCTGTGTACACCACCAGCAGCTATAAAAATAACACTGCTGCTTACACGAATCCAACAGGGTAATTCATTTAAAGAAAGGAAAAAAAAAAAGGATTCATTTTTAAATAATAAACTATTTTTGGCAGAGTCTCAAAATAGAAGTACACTTGCAGCTCTCATGAAAACAGGCAGGAACAGAATGTGAAATCCAAAAACACGCCTTCCGACTATATGGCACTGTGTTGAAAAAGTAAGCAAAACACACTCATTAACATCTATTCTTAGCAGCCTTTTTGCTGGCTTAACTGCCCTAACATCACTGCTCCTGTATTCTCTTCAGAGAAAACGAAATGGACTGAATCTAAAAGAGGAAACAAGGATGAGTCAGGCAGCCCACGTCCCCACTCAGCAAAAGAATCCAAATACACTAGAAAGACTGTACTGGGTAGCTTTTGATTGAAGTCTTCATTACTGTGAAACAAAGTTAACCTGACTTTAATCCCCTGCAGGGATCACGGGACACTAAAACTTAATACAATCACTGTAACTTTGGCTTAATGGACTGAACATTACAAGTCCACCTGTGAGTGAAGCTAAATGCAGAAATTAAGTCAAAGCTGTACACAAACTGGTATGCCACTGTTACTATGGGACACTGCACAAGGAGCCCTGTTCAGGGCTTAGAACAGCTTTTTGGATTTTCTCTTGGCGGGCACAAGTTGTTTGGTTGGGTTTGGTTTTAATGTAGGTTTCTACCCCTACCTAGACAGCTAAAAGATGCCCAGTCTTAAAGAGATACTGAAAATGACAGCCATCAGTGCCTCTATGAAACCTGCAGTTGATGAGCACTTCCGAAAAGTCAGGTAACTTATTTAAATGCACAGAAGGGGATTTTAATTCCTTTTTGAAGACAAAAGTACTCCTTGCATTAGAGCTTGTATCAGATTGTAACAAACAGGACTATTTTGTAAGGCCAGAGCAAACTAAGGCTTCAGGAAGGCTTGAGTGATGAAGTACAGAATTAAACAGATGAGGATTAAAAAGAAAAATCAAAAATAATCTCTTCCTGACCAATGTCAAGACCTCTGCAGGCACAAGCTACATTGATTTATTACAGTATCAGAATTGGTTCGGACTAGGGGGGCGGGCAAGCATTAAAGACATTGTTCTTACTATTTCATCATCTGTTGCAGCAAATTCAGCTGACAGCATTTACTTTCATAGAATACGTAGCTAAATTCCAAGAACAGTAGCAGAAAACAGGAAAGGCAGCTGTTGGCCCCAGAACTATGCATTAAAGGTATCTGCTTTAAGACAAAATTTTGCAATCCTGAAATTTCAGACCAATGGGATGTAGCAAATACCTTGCTATTTCAGATCAAACGCTTACCTTGATGATCAGTTTTTTGGTTGAAATTTTCAAATGAGAGTGGTTACTTGTAACAAACATTTTCATCAGTAAGTAGAACACTGATTTTTCACCAGATTCCTTCTCTGTCTCAGAGACATCCTGAAAGAAAAATATATGAAAATTGCTCTGGTACCACAACACTAGACAGGATTATGTTGCACTGAAGCAGATATGAAATATATTATTTTACAAACCTGCCCAAAAATACCAAGGCCAGAAATGAATGGGATCATTTATACAACTTTGCATTAGTGAGCCAGGAAGATAAGTACAATGGTTTTCAGAAAGTGGAAGAAGAAATGAGTAACAGAAACACCAACCAATACAAGGGTCTAAGATAAAGCCACCCTCCTCCCCAGTCATCCATCCGTATTTCTGTAACCCCCAGGAATTCAGACTTCCTGCAAGCACCTGAATAAGAAATACAATCATCTAGAAGACTGACCCCCAAAGAACAGGTAAACAATGCAAGCCACAGGGATGCTGAACACTGTCCAAACGTCAAATGAAAACCCTTCAGCCACTTCTCCTGCTTTTCTCACTGACTTGCACTGGATATCTAACCACCATAACCCTCTAACGCTGACAGATTTGGCTTTTACCTTTTCTGATAAAACCTGTCTATACCAGAAGGGCAAAGCCACAAGAAAATAGCTTCTTTGCCACTTTTCAGGTTTTACTTCGCTTGCTCTTAACTCTCCTAATTTTTCATTTATGGCCAACTGGAGAGGATGGAAAATCTCCTACAAGGCACAGTCACAATCCCAACATTGATGGGTGTCTGCTTCCCTGCAAAGCTAGGCCCACTCTTTTCTGCAGACATGAAAAGCAGGCTCTACAGCATTCTTCTTTTACAAGCCTACACTGAAGGCGACAACAGGGGCCCTCCAGTAGTTATGGAGATGAGGGACAGCCTTAAATGCCATAATATTCCCGGGGAATGTGTGGGTTGTCTCCCCTCAGCAGCTGACTTCCTTGTCCTTAGGATTTCCAAACCAGTAGAATCCAGCAAATTCTCACTCTTGCTCCTCTCCCAGAACAAGAAGAGCTGAAGGAACCTTGTCCAGCCTCAACAGGGAGACAGAATTTTCTGTCCTTGTAGAAAAACTTTTCAACTCAGAAGGGGTTCTTCACTAATGCTAAGACTATAATTCCTACTGGGTCACCTCCCAGGATACCTGGATTGAGCCTAGCTTAAAAACAGACAGTGCTGGCCGTAAAGATTTGAGGACAACACACCAAAGAAACGTAAACCTGCCTTGAAGTCTCTTACCTGTACTCTGAACCAGGCAAACTTATTTGCAGGAAGTTCCAAAGCCACTTTCAGTATATGGTGCTGCAGAACAGGAGGGACCTCTTCTCGCAGGCCCTTTTCAGTGACGATACCTGAGGTTTGAAAGCAATACAATCAACCTGATTCAGGTGTATCTTCCTGATACCTCAGGAACACTAATAATTTAGTGTTTCAAACCACCACTGTGAGATAAGCAGGCAAACCATGAATTTTCATAGCCTGAAACACTATCATTATGTTTGGCCAATATAAGGCTGGAATCCGTCCCTCAGCAGGGAAAGTCTAGCACCTGTCCCAGGCCATCACTGGCCCATGGGGATACAAAATCTCTACCAGTCTCAGCAACCCTGAAAAGCTGTGTCCTACAGAAAGTAAAGAGGATGGATAACTAGAGACCAAAATACAGAATTTAAGTCAATAACAAATCTTAACACTTATGCGATTCCAGCATTTGCTACAGGCAAAAGACATGCGGGAGGGAAGGGATGCCATCCAGAGGGACCTGGACAGGCTGGAGAGGTGGGCCCCTGCCAATCTCATGGAGTTCAACAAGGCCTGCACCTGGGTCAGGGCAATCCCAAGCACAAGTACAGGCTGGGGGGAGAATGGATCGAGAGCAGCCCTGAGGGGAAGGACTTGGGGGTACTGGTGGACGAAAAGCTGGACATGAGCCGGCAGTGTGCGCTGGCAGCCCAGAAGGCCAACCGTATCCTGGGCTGTATCCAGAGAAGTGTGGCCAGCAGGTCGAGGGAGATGATTCTCCCTCTGCATCCAGATCTGGGGCCCCCAGTATAAAAAGGATATCAACCAGTTGGAGCAAGTCCAGAGGAGGCCACGAAGATGCTCCGAGGGCTGGAGCACCTCTGCTATGGGGACAGGCTGAGAGAGGTGGGCTTGTT